TATCTAGCTAGCTATCATCATATATCTATCACATCTATATGTCTTTCTCATACATAAATGAAAATAATTTGATACCAGAAGGTGTACTTATATAACAAGTATCTAAATATATGTGGCATTAGCTTTGGCATTGGATGATGTGTGGTAGAAAGAACTGTAGGAAACTATTGAAAACTATCAGTATATGATAAAATTGTCCCCAGAAGACAGCTGGTGAGCAATTCAAAATAATATTATAAGTTGGAAAATTTAGTTTTATTAAGAATTAATAAGTTACTTGGCATCATTACTGCCTGTGGTAAGGTGGAAAATATAATTCATATTTCTGATTTTCAAGATTACTAGGTAGATTGTAAAGATTTGCAGGTAGGTAACTTACATTAACTATGATTAAATATAAGAAGATGGTAATAATCAATTTTTAAGGAAAATGTAGAGCAAAGGTAAAGCAGTTATTTATTTATTTATTTTTTTGGTTTGCAAAAGAAAATAATTATTCCTATATGTTCTAGAAAAATATTCTTAAAGTAAAAAATGTCTAACAGCCAAATTTGAGATATTAAGCAATAAAATTTGTTCTGAAATAAAATTAACACAAGCACATGAATGTAAAAACCCTTCTGTGACAATCTCAGTAAAACTTGAAGTGATGCCTCTTAGATATCTTTATCTAAACAAAATCCTTCTAAGTATTGTATTGGAATGCCTTACAAAACTCTCAAATAAAAAGGCTACTTAAATATGTTATTCCATGGCAGCCTCACCAGCCCAATATAGAAAAATGCTTATCTCAAAAAGATTTGTGGGTATGGCCTTTATTTAATAGGGAATTATTATTATTATTATTATTATTATTATTATTATTATCTTGCATTCTTATATAAGTTTTTTATATGTATTTATTAGAGCCAAATTGACAACATAGGCTGGGGAGAAAATACTCAACTGCTTCCCAGGGTGTATTTTTATTTGATACACAAAATATTCACACATTTTAAGAGAAATTATATCAGTTCAGACTGAAAATGATCTGAATAGCATGTATGCTCTTTGAGTCCAATCAGTTACAGGAAAGAAGCTACTCAGATATGAAAGGAGCTATTTCTAATGGAAATACTTATAAATAAAAGGGTAGTACCAAGAAACCTGAAATCAAAACTTTTTAGATCTGTAGGCTTATGATTTTTAAAAATCACCACCAACACAAATTTAAAAAATACAAGTCTAAATGGAAAACATACAGATTAATTCCACTAAGTATTTTCAAGGAAGAAATACTATTTAAAATAGCTAGGTTGGAGAAATCTTAGCATGTCATTGCATGAGGTAAACATAACCCTGGTGCCAAATCCAGACGAAGTTTAAAAAATTACAGAATAATTTATTTCATGAACATAGATATAAACATTCTTAAGAAAATATTTCCTTGTGATATATAGTTATCTATATTGAAAAGATAACAATCCAGACTATCTGGGGTTTATTTTAGGGACACAGGACTGTTTTATCATTTGAAAGTCAATCAGTACAGTTCTCTAAATCAACAAAAATTTTTAAAGTATATTATTTTTTTATTTCATGCAGAAAATTCATTTGACAAAAATTCATCACCTAGTCATGATTATTTAAAAAAAAAACCAGTAAACTACTAATATAAGTAAACTTCATCAATCTGATAAAAAAGCAGCAGCAAAACTACATAGTTAATATATTTTATAATGAAATATATATACTATTTTTCCCAAAATATTAACAAGAGAATAAAGTCTGCTATTACTATGTCTATTCAACATTTCACCATAAGCTCTAGCCAGTGAAATACATTGCAAAATAACAAGAAATTAGGAGCATGAAGATTGGAAAGAATTAAATAAGACTGCAGATGATATGGGTAATTACAAAGAAAGTCCTGAAGAGTCTACAAAAACTCTTCCAGAAATAATATTTTCTGAAAGTCCAAAAAGAAATGTTCAGAAATCATTATTATTATTATATAATAGTAGTAGTAAAGGAAAACCAACCATTTACAATACCATAAAAATAAAAAATGTTAGGTATGAATTTAACAAATAATATGCAAGACCTTAGCACTGAACTAAAACAAAATGTAGATAAATGTTAAACACATGAATAAATGAAGAAATGTGCCATATTAATCTATTGCAAGGCTTATTATTACTAAAATTTAAATTCTCAGCAAATTAAATCTATAGATTTAAAAAAGCATAAAAGCTTGATGCATTTTATGTTTTTTGGTTTTTAAATAAGTTTACTATTTATATTTTTATTATTATTACTAGAGGCTCGGTGCACAAAAATTTGTGCACTCAGGAGGGTTCCTCAACCCAGCCTATTCCCTCTCTCAGTCTGGGACCCCTCAGTTGATGACCACATGCTGTCTTAGGCCCACTCCCCGGGGATTGGGCCTAAGCTGGCAGTCAGACATCCCTCTGGCAGCCCAGGAGCCCTCAGGGAATGTCCACTTGCCAGTGGGAACAGGCCTAAGCTGCACTCGGACATCCTTAGCGCTACTGAGGAGGCAGGAGAGGCTCCCCCCACCACCGCTGTGCTGGCAGCCATCAGCTTGGCTTGTGGCTGAGCAGATCTCCCCCTGTGGGAGAACACAAACCACCAGAGGGCAGCTCCTGCATTGAGCATCTGCCCCGTGGTGGTCAGTGTGTGTCATAGTGACCAGTGATTCCAAGTCATTCTGCTGTTAGGGTCAATTTGCATATTACCCTTTTATTATATAGGACAGAGGCCTGGCACATGGGAGGGGGCCGGCTGGTTTACCCTGAAGGGTGTCCCGGATCAGGGTGGCGGTCCCGCTAGGGTGCCTGGCCAGCCTGGGTGAGGGGCTGATGGATGTTTGCTGGCCACGGCCCCCAGGCACCCAAGCTCCCAGTGGAGGCTAGCTGGAAGCATGTATCTGGGATTTATTTAGCTTCTATAATTGTAACTTTGTTGCCTTATATGGAGGCCACAGCCGGCCAGGGCACACAGGAAGCTTGGCTGTGTCTATTGCGGGGGCAACCAAGCCTCGGCTTGCTCCAGCTCCGTGGCTGCCAGCTGCCATCTTGGTTGGGTTAATTTGCATATAGTTGCTCTGATTGGCTGGTGGGCATGGCTTGGGCTTAGCAGAGGTACAGTCAATTAGTATCTTTGTCTTTTATTTGTGTGGATTTTTATTGTCTAAAGTTTTATATATGTCTTCTTTTCCCCAATTAACCCCTCCCCCCAGTCATTCCCACCTTGGGCAAGTCCCCACCGCCCCAGTGCCTGTGTCTATTGGTTATGCTAATATGCATGCATACATGTCCTTGGGTTGCTCTCTAAACCCCCCACTCCCCGACCATTTGTCTCTGGATCTATTCTTGTTCATCAAATTATATTGATTATATCCCATATATGAATGAGATCATGTGATATTTACCTTTCTCTAAATGGCTTATTTCACTTAGCATAATGCTCTCCAGTTCCATCCATGCTGTTGCAAATGGTAAAAGTGTTCCATTTTTAACTTTTTGAGGGAACTCCATACTGTTTCCATAATGGCTGCACCAGTCTGCATTCCCACCAGCAGTGTATTAGGGTTCCCTTTTCTCCACATCCTTGCCAGCACTTGTCATTTGTTGATTCTTGATGATAGCCATTCTGACAGGTGTGAGATGGTATCTCATTGTTGTTTTGATTTGCATCTCTCTGATAATTAGTGACTTTGAGCATGTTTTCATATACCTCTGGGCCTTCTCTATGTCTTCTATTGAAAAGTGTCTATTTAGAACCTTTGCCCATTTTTTGATTTGATCGTTTATGTTCCTTTGGTTAAGTTGTATGAGTTCTCGGTAAATTTTGAAGATCAAACCCTTATCGGAAATAACGTTGGCAAATATGTTCTCTCATGCAGTGGGCTTTCTTGTTTTGTTAACCATTTCTTTTGCTGTGCAGAAGCTTTTAACTTGGATGTAGTCCTATTTGTTTATTTTCTTCTTAATCTCCATTGCCCTAGGAGCTGTGTTGGTAAAGATATTGCTACGACATATGTCTGCTATTTTTCTGCCTATGGAGTCTTGTAGGATTTTTATGGTTTCCAGTCTTACATTTAAGTCCTTTATCTATTTTGAGTTTGCTTTTGTGTATGGTGTAAGTTGGTGATCTACTTTCATTTATTTGCATTTATCTGACCAAATTTCCCAGCACCATTTATTGAAGAGGCTATCTTGACTCCATTGTATGCTCTTGCCTCCTTTGTCAAATATTAATTGAGCATAATGGCTTGTGTCGATTTCTGGGACCTTTTATTCTATTCCATCGATCTATATGTCTGTTCTTGTGCTAGTACCAAGCTGTTTTAAGAACAGTGGCTTTGTAATATAGCTTGATATCTGGTATTGTGATCCCTCCTACTTTGTTCTTTCTCAGGATTGCTGTGGCTATTCGGGGTCTTTTGTTATTCCATATGAATTTTTGGAGAGTTTGTTCTAGATCTTTGAAATATGCTCTTGGTATTTAATCGGGATTGCATTGAATCTGTAGATTGCTTTGTTTTTATATGTTAATAATTTGATTCTATAATAAACAAAAGAGCACTTAGAATAATCAAACAACTCTGAAAAAGAATGACAGTGAAGGACTATTTAGTCTATTTGTCTCATTGCCTTATATTGAATTTAGTATAGTATAAATTTAGTTTATAGTTAAATTAATCAAGACAGTGTGGCATTTGTATAGGATAAATATGCAAGTAGATCAATATAATGAAACTAGAGGCTTGGCGCATGAAATTCATGCACAGGTAGGGTCCCTAGGTCTGGCCTGCGATCAGGGCCAATCTTCTCCAGCTGCCAGGCCCACCTTCCCCACCCTTCCCCACCCCCCACTGCTGCTGCTGCTGCTGGTCACCCTCTGTGTGTGGGACAACCGGCAGGGCAATCAGCCCACATCCGCCGCCACCCACCCCTGGTTCTCAGTTCCCCATTGGCGATTGGATCCTACTGGCTGGGGGGAAGGACCGAGAGGTTAGCTGTTCCTGCTTGTTAGCTAACCCCTCCCCCCACCACCTCTGTGTGTGGGGCAACTGGCGGGGCAATCAGGGCCCCGTGCCTCCTATGTCTGCCACCACCCACCCTTGGTTCCCGGTTCTCCATCAAGCGGTCTGGGCCTGTGGGCAAGGGGCAGCTCCTGCATTGAGCGTTTGCCCCCTGGTGGTCAGTGGACATCATAGTTGGCTAGTCATTCCTCTGTCCAGTCAATTTGCATATTATGGTTTTAGATAGATAGATAGATAGATAGATAGATAGATAGATAGATAGGTAGGTAGGTAGGCTATAAATTTACCCATTAATATAAGGTTAATTATTTTTTCAAAAAAAGTACAAAGATAGTTTAATGTGTAAGGAAAGTCATTTCAAAACATTGTACTATTACAACTGGATACCAACATAAGCCCAAACAACCTAAAAAAATCTCAAGTCAATTAACAATTGATATGGAATAAATCTAAAGAAAGAAGCTGAAAGTATAAATCTTCTTGAAAGAAACAGAAAAAAAATTATATGATCTTGGGATATAAAATAATTTCATATATAAAATATAAAAATGTATATAATGCAATAATAGAAAATTTGGACTTTACTAAAATTTTCTTAATTATACATTACTTCTTACTAAAAATAGAAATTGAGAAAAACTCACTTATACAAAGATCACACTTTCATTCTTTTCATCTATATTAGCAAACAGTTCTAAACAGAGTACATGGATAGAAGATGCTCAATCAAAAGCAAGGGATAGAACTATTATTGTCAGAATTAGAAATCTCCTTGGGCACTGAAACTGTCAACTTATCTACTTCATTAAAATATTAATTATAAAATTGTTAAGTAGCTAAAAGTTTATTCTAATAGTTCTATTGAAAAACAAACATGTCTTTGCTATATTCCTCATAATTACTTTTAAATCATTGTTTTCTTTCCTAGAAAGACACTATGTTGAGAATGTTTATCCTTCCAAACCTACGAGATGGCCATTTTTCCTACTCATTCCTTTTTGTGTTGTTCTCAGTATAATGATAATAACCCTGGTAAAAGTTTATTTACAAAGAAAGAAATGGAAAACTGAGGACTATACAAGCGATGAGTATATTGATTTTATATCTAAGATTTATTATTTTTATAACTTGTTAATATTCATAGTAACTTATTAATAAATAACATTATGAAAAAGTTACAAGTAATAATTCATATTTAATCTTTATATGGAAATTTAATACTTCCTAATATATTAAGGATTAATATAATGAATAATGAGCATAATTTTTTAAATGTCAAAAATTTTAATCTTATAACAACTTGGACTCTGTTAGGGGTAAAATAAGTCAAAATTACTTCTAGTTAATGTTTGTTTACCTCTTTTTATTATTTTATCTTAATTATTAACTATGTATTGAACATTACTACTTTATTTTTGATATTTAGATATTTCAAGGAATTTTGCATACATTATTTTATTAAAAGGTAGCAGAGAAATCTAGGAGAGTAGTTAGTGAAATATGTCAGTCAGAGAAAGATGAATACCATATAAATTTCACCAATATGTGATATCTAAAGAACAAAATAAGTAAATAATCAAAATTGAAAGACACTCATAAAGAGAACAGACCGATGGTTGCCAGAGGAATAGAGGTTGGGGGCTAGGTGAAAAAGGTGAACAGATTAAGAAGTACAATTGGTAGATACAAAATAGTCATGGGAATGTAAAGTATAGCATGGGGAAAATAGCCAATAATATTGTAATAACTGTGTATGTATGGTTCCAGGTGGGTACTGGGAATATTGTGGGAGCACTGTAAAATATATGATTGTCTAACTGCTAGGCTGTATACCTGAAACGAATACAAAATAATATTGAAAGTAAGCTGCAATTGAAAAAAATTAAATAAATAAATAAAAGAAACAGGGCAGAAGATAAATGATAAAAAAGTTTAAAGTTATTTAGCTAATAGTGTTATAAATGTAAAAATTATCTAAGTTCATTTTCAGGTAAACTTATATTACTGTGCTTTTTTTTCTCATTTAGTCTTAATTACCAGTGAGAGATTATTTCAGTGTTAAAGTCGTCTCAGATCTCAGAAAGGAATTCAAAACTGTTTCAGTACAGACAGATAGTGCAGAGTTTTGTACTGTAATTTTCAAAGAAAATATAATTTTAAGTGATTATATTTGTTTTTAAATGTATAGGGAACTTGAAAGTGAGAGTGAATCCAAGAGTAGCCTGGAAAACAGAGACTCCATAATATCATAGTGAGTATAAAATATTTTAAGGATGAGATGAAGAGACAGAGAAAATTTAATGTGTTAGATAAATGTAAATAATACAAATATATATGAAATGGTGGTAGTCATATAGATGCATATAATGACAAATTGGGGAATATTTTTCAATGGTGTAGGCTGCATCACGGATTAGTAAGCATAAATTGTATTCAATTCATCATTTAAAATTTCTTGCAGTGTTATCTTTTAATATTTTTAAATAATTTAATGCTTTAGCATTTATGTATTCAAATATTGGTTAAAATAAATTACATTATAGAACTCTATAATGAGGTTACCCTTATACTATTTGTTGAATTAACCAGAATTTTTAATTTTATTGGACACACAGGTGACTTTTCCCCTTTATTTTTTCAGAGCAATTATCTTTGATGAACAGGAAAAATGGAAAAGAAAAAGTACATGTATTTTCTGATTGCCTCAGATTCAAAACCTGCATTCTACTGTTTTGACCTGACAAGAAAAAATAGAATTCTCATATGTAATTTATGTTATATTGTATTGTTTATATATCATATAGCATTTATATATTTAATTCTACAGATGAGTTTTTAGAATACACATTTTAAAAGTTATCTAATGCTAATTCTGTTAGTCAGTAGAAACTAACTTAATCAACAGGCATGAAATGAGGAAAGGTTACAATATAATAAATGCAATGCCATAATTAAAGGCCACTGCTACATTTTTTATTGCAGTTATGTAGTTATGTTGTTATGATGGTCCATAGCCAGTCAAAAGAAAACTTGATATAATTTAACATTGAAAGATTTAGTAGGCACGAAGAAGAATCCTATCTAATAAAAGAGAAACATGGTAATTAGCCATAACTTCGCTACCCTTCCCATTGGCTAATCAGGGCGATATGCAAATTAACTGCCAACCAAGATGATGGCCGGCAGCCAGGCAGATTGAAGTGAACAGGAGGTTTGCTTGCTTCAGTGATGGAGGAAGCCAACATTCCCTGCCTGCCACGGTCCAGCTCTGAGCTCCACTGAAAGCAACAAAGTTTCCATTATA